ACACCATCTTGTGCCGACTAAACTGACTTGAACGCACCTGACATCTTAATTAGGACTTGTCAACTCGTAAGTACGAACGTCCCAGGAGGACTTGCATGCAGCATGGGCTCATGTCTCAGAATGCTGACTGTTTCTATAGCAACCGGGACTTTTAACGCAGCTGCAGTGACGTGCTGACTTTGCCAATTAACGATTGGCTCCTTCATTCAGAAGGCGGGGCTTCCAGCGATTGAGCGGCCATACTGAGTGTTGCATTTTTCCCCATTCAAAACTATAGGAGTGACATGTCTTGGGCATTCTATAGTCTTTGATTAAACTTAAAAGGTGCACTAAGCAATTTTTGTAAAACGCTTTTGACTGCAGCGTCCCAAGTCCCAAAACACACTTGTAGCCAATCAGCAGTAAGGGGCGTGTCTTGTAATGATAGAGAGAAGAGAGCGCTCAATTTGAGTGCACAGGACGGATATTATCAGATCGACTATAGATAGAGAGAATTGGAAGATAAAGAGGAAAATATCGGAGGAACAAAACATAAAAAAGAAGGGTTACGATCAGGCAAGAGGTAGGATCCGCGTAAATATCGGAGTAGCTTTCCAGCGGTGGAGAGAACTCAAGGAGCGGGAAGGGCTTGAATCGGACGCCGAGGTTGCATTGTTTATTTTTGATAAGTGAGTAACGTTGATTTTGTTGCCATTTGTTTGAATATGCTTGTGTGACATCTTCGCTTCCGTGATTGTCATTATGCCAGGGTTGTGTACGTACGTGTGCGGCGGAGATATTAAAATAGGGGCGAGGTCCTGACGGAGTATGGGCGTGTTTGTTTTGGTGCTTTCAAATATCAACAACATTTGGAAAAAAAATCACTTAGTGCACCTTTATCTTTTGAGAATGTTGTAATTTTGAAAATGACTAATTAATCACTGATCTTGTGAGTTGTTATATACTAAAACAATTCTTCAAAATGTAACAATTTTTTTTTCCAAAAAGGAAAATAAAATGCTCAAAGTTATTCCTCTGCAAAATAATATATTGAAATAGATTTTGCATCTGTTTGTAATATTCACCCAAGTGGGTAAATTCAGAAGATGAGAAAGACATGATAGACTGAATATAGAGTAGTTAAAGCTGAGTATGTGATGTCTGACCTCATTATTGAGGACACCGTAGATCAGGAAGATGAAGGTTCCCTGCTGGGAGTTCAAGATCAGGAAGAGGATCTCCAGCACCGTACTGCCATTAGTGAAGAAACCCAGAATCCAGGAGCAACCAAGAACCACAAACTGAGCCAGTGTTTTAAACACCATAATCCTGCAGAGATAATGTATCTTTATTGACTATAATAAAAACACTATAGGTGGTTTTCCTTACAGCAATTACATTATAATATTTATTACTTGTTTTTTTTCAACTGTGAAACATCAGCGTTCAGTTTTGTGAGAGATGAGTTCAGACTGATGATGATGCAGATAAAGAGAATCATGTTTAACTGCAAAGTAGAAAAACAATAATTAATCACCATGATTTCCTTTTAATACAAATCAAAATCATGAAAATGAAACATGCTTACTGCTAGTATGATGCAAACAGGTCCCAGAAAACTCCAGATGAAGCCTTTATCCATCTTAATCCAGCAGCTGTTTGGAAGAAGATGCTGTTTGGAGTTTATGAAGGAATGATACAGTTTGAGGGGAAAAAAGGAGAAAACACTAAACTCACTGTTTGCTGCCGTAGCCGTCAGGAACCAGACCGACAGACATGGCCACCAAAACCAGAGCAACCACATATCCAATCACACACACGAATCCACTGCTAAGCACCTTCCTCTTTTTGGAGCTGATCTGTGATAGGTTCTTCACACAGATGAAGAGCAGTACAGCTTCAATGAGCATCCACACAAAGCCAGAGAGAAAGAGGAAGTGCAGAAGGCCAGAGATCACGGCACACAACACCTGGAGACCATGAGAGACGGTTATGATGATTCTCAGTGAGGCTGTGCTGAGCTGTAGGGCTCCTTCATCATTCTCACCTGCTGAGGCCGTATGAAGCTCAGGAACCGCTGCGTGAGCAGGAACAGAAGGTGAGCCAGCAGAAGACTGATTGAAATGTGAAGTACAACAATGAAAAAACTGCAAGTGAACGTGATTTAGTTGTACATATGTCTCTTTCTTAAATTGTTTCTTCTTTAATGTTTTTTTAATTTATTTATTTACTGCACACTATAACATTTCACATACTTGTTTCATTGTTGTTCTTGGCAATTCCAATGAGATCGATGTCCACAGAGGAATTTGTTGTTTCAAGTCGAGGTATTTTATCTAAGGTGACATTTGGTCCAACCATGAAGACTTCTACCTCTGGTTTAAAAAACAAGCTGCTCCATTTAGTATTTTTAATTTACTTTACCTCATTTAAAAAAAAAATTTTTTTAATGAAAATTCATGCAATCTGCACAAATATATAACATGACTAGTGTGCTTCAGTTCTGAACTGGTTTTGTGTGAGGACTCAGATTTTATATTGGACATCAAGCAGCAAAATTGTTTATTGAACAAAAGTAAATAATGATGTCCTTAAAATCCAAATACTGTAATTGACTATTACCATAAACAGCACTGACTTATGGTTTTTATCATTTGAGTGTTTGGTAAATGTCTCATGAATGTTGATTGTTTTGTCTTTAAGGCAGTGACTATCCGCAAAACACATTGTAGTCACAAACCATTTCTATGCTGCACGTTTCATATAATCATGGGTCATATTTTCTTTGAACATGTTTTTAAGCATGAATGTGTCACTTGACCTGGTCATGTTGACATCTGTCTAATGAGACAGAGCACAGGCAATTTTCTGCTCTCTTTTAAAATGTTGATAATGATACACAATTAAATAGTTTCTGTGTTGCATTCAGCATTGTTGCTTTCTGCCACCTGTGATCCACTGCTGCTCTAGAATATAAAAAGTCTCTGACATTATATATAATCTCAGTTTCATCATTAATAACCGTTTCTCCCCTTACCTACAGCAGCAAGAGTAAAGCTGACACTGTCATTTGTGTCTGTTGGCTTCACTAATGTAGAGATGAGTTTCTCACTGGCTTTTAACACACGGTTTCCAAAGGAGGCTAGTTCAGCTGGGCTTGCTGATGATGATGATGACTCTAGAATCTTCTCCATAGCATTGAGGACCACTTTCAAAATTCTCATCACAGTCTAATTTATTGACCAGAAAAATACAGTTACCTTACATGTAAATGGTAAGACTGCACTGCAATGTCGATCATCTATTATCTAGCGAGATTTCATTTGATTATTTTATCATTTTTCTCTTGAAGACTTACATTCACAGGAAGCTCTTGAGCTGTAATGTTCTCAATCAGCTCAAGAAGATTTTGAAGACAATCTAGAGAAGTCTGTATATGAAATCACAATTGTGAAGGCAGAATTTCATGATTTTGATCAGGTTTATGTATTAATAGCTAATTAGTTTAAGCACGAATCCATAAAGAATAAATAGAAAATCTAATTCATATTAAAAATATCCACAATGCACATCTTATTGCACTGCTCTCTGCACTATAACTGATAGAAGCTGTGAGTCCAATTCTAAAACCTCAATTTCAGAAACTCAACTTACAGTGCATCCTTCCGGCAGCGTTATATTTATAACTGCAATGACAGAAATCAGCATGAAGACAATAATACAATAAACCAAAAAAAAAAAACATTCTCAGAAAACAGCTACATTTCAGGAAGAATCCACTATGTTAAACTTGTACTTAAAGATTAGCAGTCAACGATTCTACATTATAATTTCTGTTCAATTCTACACATTCACAGTCAGTCAAAACACAATCAACAGACTACATTACCAGCTGAGCTCGTCTCTGGTGTAACTGTTGTATGAGTGCTGCTGATGTTTGTAACAGCTGAAAAAAATAATGGCTGATGAATAGCAATGAATCACCACAAATACAAATAATACAGGTACACACAAATAATGCAGGGCTCATGTAAATATAATCACCTGCACAGTATGCAGAGCATTTAGTTGGACTAAACAGTTCATAGACATAATAATTGCCTGGACAGGCTTTGACTTTAATGGGGAAAGACCCGTAATAGCAGCAGTAATTTCTCCAGTGACCGCAGACATCTCGAGTGACGACTCCATCTGTAACTGCTGGGTGTCCACCATGAATCCACAGTGGGATATTGGTGCCACAGCTATAGATTTCAACACATGTGTCTGGGATCTGAGTGCTCATGTTGTTAATGAAGAGACGATACCAGCCTCTCCAGGTGACAGACTGGTCACACTTGTAGTTGTGTGTTGACTGCTGTTGACTGCTGTTGGCTCTCCATGGTTCGTCCAGCACAGTGTAGTTGTAGCAGGGGTCAACAGAGGGATAAGCTGTTATGAAAACATTAAACAAATGTGTTGCTAAAAAAATTACAGCTGTTTCCCCGTAACCTCCGTGGACAAAGCAGTTGCCATTAAGAACACTACATTATTAGGTATTACATGGAGTGAAGATGAAAACAAAATGCCATCGAATCTTTTCCGAAGACAGTCAGAACCTTCAGAGGTGCATTCACATAATTAATTCATTCATATATTCATTTGTATAATTCCCTTAGCACTTTTTACGTAAAATCTACCAGCTTTCTGCCATGTTTTCACACAAAACTAAACTACTCTGCGAGCTGTGCGCACATGCGACTGTTAATTAAAACTTTGTTTTATGCCAGGTAGTATTTATTTATTTATCGTGAGTTGTTCAAATCCCGGTAATCGAAATACGGTTTTAATGATACTTAAAATATGAAATGGTAATATTAACCATGGGGAATTTTATCATGATTTATCGTCAAACTGGTTGCAAATTGCCACTGCCCCTGGTAATTTTCAAAATACGTTTATGGACATTTCCTGTAATTCTAAAACACAGCATACTGCAATGTGTAATTACAAATACAGTATTGTGAAAAATCAATACAGAAAATTCCTTCATATTAACACATTATTTCGTGCTCTATTTTTTACAGACTTTTCGAGGAGTGTAGCATATTAACTATAACTACCAATACACTGCTTAAAACTATAATTTTTCAGAATGTGTTGTTTTAGTAGTAATACATAAAATCATCAATAAAATACATCAAATGTAATTGTTAAAAAATGTATAACTGTTCAATAATTTGGTATTGTATTTAAAAATAAAAGATCATAAAACTATTTTGTTTATATTACTTTTGCTAATATATACTGTGTTTATATTACTTTTACAAACAAATCTAAACGAACATATTTGAAATCATATTTTACACTAAGATTTGCATTGTGGATACATGGCATCAAGTTCTGGAAATAAATCATGAGACTTTTTGCTGAGATCCAGCGAGATGTTACAGAAAATGTTCTAGTGTAAGTTAGCTTAAATATGAGTAATAATTAGATAATACATATAATTTGGTAGTAAAGTGTTGCACATTTTATTGAGTATGTGTATTTGCAGCTGCAATTACTAAATTAAAAACACAATTACTAAGTTGTGTCATCTGTTATAGGGACAAAATAAAGCTCTGTAAATACCTGCATTTTCACAACACTATAAGCATGTCCCACACTTGTGGTCTTTATGGTCCCTTGAACACTTGGGCCAAATACAGGAAATACGTCATGTATGTAGACAACTGATCAAGTGCAAAGACAACAAGTGTGGGTATTTGGACAAGCCTTTAAACACTGCTTTCTTGATTAATTCAAATACAACTGACACTATCTTGCGCCTCAGTTATTGACTGTATTTACTGTAAAATGAAACCGGAGGACTTTAGTATTAATAGCAGGCCTATGGTAATATTGTTGAAGTGTTTGTCTTGTTGGTATAAATGATTGTTTTTTACACACTGCAATGGATTTTTAGATAATAAACAGGTAAGATTTTAAAATGGTTTCTTCAAATTGACATTTTATGTTCCCATCGTTATTTATGTTGTGAAAAGCTGTGTGATTAGTTATACAACAGTACATTATGCCTTAAATGTTTGTCTTGTCATTCGTTCTGCTTAAAGGGGTGGTTCAGTGGTTGTTTTCTAGGCTTGATTGTGTTTATGGGGTGCAGTCTAACATGTGTTAATGCTTTGTTTTTTTAAAAATGCATTATTTTTCACATAATTTACCTTTATTCCACACCGCTCTGTCCCTTCTCTGAGAAACGGGCTGATCATTTCCTTCTTTTATGAAGCCCCTCCCTCAAAAATACGTGATGGGCTTTGATTGGTTAGCTAGTCCAGTGTGTTGTGATTGGCTAAACCGCCTCTAGTGCGTGTCTAAACGTCCCGCCCCACACCTCAGCGGCATGTGCTCCGGTTGTATTGTAAACAAGGCATTGTTAATATCGCTTATCAGTTTGAGCCCGATTGAGAAGCAGAGGATATTATTGGAGAGGATCGTGCAGAACTTGTGCAAGCATGACTTTTAATTGTAGGCCTATGTTTTTTGTTTGTTGTTGTCTCATACTTTTAGATACACTGTTATTTGTAAATGCTACTGCTTATGTTAATTTTTAATTTACGGTTTTATCCTGATTAAAGCTTTAATACAGAATGGCAACTGCACGCGTGTCCATGTTTAACGCTTCTCATAGCTATGTGAAAATACGTGTATAATTGGAACAGTTCATTGTTGGAGCTGAGCTGAGCTGAGAGAGAGAGAGAGTGAGAGAGAGAGACGCAGAGGTGTGCAGAGCAGGGGGACGTGAGGAACAGTATTGAGAACCACTGCTTTAGAACATTGATTTTGAAACTTGTGAATCCATTAGAATCGTTAGAAGACAGAATTGCGATTCATATATGAATATATTTTTACGTGCACCTCTAGTTTTCTCTTCCTCTTCTCTAAAGCAGCACAGCATGGCCTCGCCCCCTTTGCTGCCTTTTCCCGAGGGCGGGGTTTATCTGGGTTTGTCCAGCTGAAACTGAATATTGAATAGAGGGCATGGTTTTATGTTTGCGCTCCTCCTCTCTGTCTCTCACTCATAGCAGTCTAACGGTTAGAGGGGTGTGTTTAAGGATAAACTAAAGGATAACTAAATAACTGGACATCGGAGCGAACCAACCCCGTGACGTCACACGCGGTGGTACTGAAAGATGGCGGTGCCCTTGCTCCAAAAGCTATAACAAAACATCCTTTTTTCTTTAAAATGGTTACATTAATCATGTTTGTTATATATTTTTTTTATCAAAGTGGAAATCACTTAACTAAATAATGTTAACTGACTGCTTCACTTCCACTTTAAAGGGACTTTGGGCTAGGGCTGCACGATTAATCGAATGTGATTTTCATGCGCATTTTGTTAGTAAAACCGGTTCTGTAATCAGCAGTAAATCATCATCACGTGCTTTCAGATGGAGCAGAATTTACTACACAGAGCTGTAGTTCACTAACAAGTAACGCAAAAAAATTGCAGATGATTTTATTGTGCAATTCTGAAATCGAAGAAATCATTCACGATAATGACAGCTGTTTGCATAGCTTCTCAGTGAACTACGGCTCTGTGTAGTAAATGCTGCTCCATCTGAAAGCATGTGAAAATACCACATTTAATAACATATTTTTTTACTCCAAACTCACTTCATAACGTCAGTCGAGTGTTTGAAATAAATCCTTCTGTGAGATGATGTGGCTTCTTACACAGAATAAGGCATGCAACATATTTCATAGTATTTAAGCAGTGATAAAGGCATTGCATTATTAATATACTTTATTTTAATGAAAATTATAATAATAAGAACTCAGATAAACAGTATATTGCCGTAGTCGTGTGTTTATTAGTCACGTTGAATCAATGAAAGCAGTTGAATCTTCTGTTTATTCAGCTGCAGAGACTACATTTTCTGGGTTTCTTCTGCGAGGCATATTTGGAGTTTCAGCGCGAGAGCGCCCTCTGGATGAAGATTTACTGCTGATCACAGAACCATGCTTCACTGAAAGATACGCATGACAATCGCAGCTTCTGTAGAATCGCCAATCTCGATTCCATTTCGATTTATCGTGCAGCCCTACTTTGGGCTAAAATATATTCTGCAACGGTCCGTGTACTCTCTGAGTGATGTAATTTTCATCATCAGGAGGGTCTGCAGATATCCTGATTTTTGTTTCATTTTTTGTGGCCGTGTGGACAGGGCATATACATCAGCACACACGCATGTGCACGTTAAATGTTAAAACAGAAGAGTCCACAAGCTCATAATAGTGATGTGTCGTTCATGAATGATACGTTCATTTTGAACAAATCTTTAATATGACTCAGGAACATCCAGTCATCTCAGTGAGGGAATCGTTCATTTCAATATCAATTCATATGTATTTACTACTTTACATAAAAGGGGATAAAAATCTTTTGTTGAATGCAGTTGAATACCTTTTTAGCACCATTTTAAACTTGGGGTTAAATTCAGTATTTGCTTGCATTCATTATGTATACTTATATAAGTATCATTTAAAAAACGATGTAAGTATTAACTTTTTTAAATTTCACATTTAAAAATCTAGTGTTTAATCATGAAGCTCCATGAACCACGTGACCGCGCGGCGACGCCGTGGGGTCCAAAGCTTGTCGCAACTCTGTTTTTCAAAGGTTCTGGCTTTAACTGAAGCGCTACATTTTACGATTTTACGCCACATTAAGTGCGCCAAAACTGTATTTATTGTTTAAATTTCCTATTAAAACTTACAAAATTTGAAAGCTGAGATTGTTTCATATCGCAAGCAGGGTTGCCAATTTGGCGTGAGATTTACATGGGCAGCATGAGAGGGTGTGTTGTCAACCCTGACTTATCTACATTTCTAACATTTTCACCAACTGACACAAGCACACTCACTCACACATCTATTCAGTAGTACAGATCTGCACATTCATCAAGCCAATAGAGACACAGTGTGTTACATTACCAGTTGAGATGGTCGCTGGTGTGACGGCTGTAGAGCTGCTGTTAAAGCTGCTAACATCTGAATGTTTGGATGAATAGTGATTAATGAACAGAGACACAAATATCATGAATTTGTAGAAAGAGCTCATGCAAATATAATCACCTGCACAGTATGCAAAATTGCAGTTAGTTGGACTAACCAACTTATAGACATAATAATTGCTTGGACAGGCTTTGACTTTAATGGGAAATGACCCGATATGGCAGCAGTAATTGTCAAAGTGACCGCAGACATCTCGATTGACGACTCCATCCTGTACTGTTGGGTGTCCACCACGAATCCACAGTGGAACAGTAGTGCCACAGCTACTCCGTGCAACACATGTGTCTGGGATCTGAGCGCTCAGACCGTTAATGAAGAGACGATACCAGCCGCTCCAGGTGACAGACCTGTCACACATTATGACTGAAGCATGTGTATTGTTTATGGCTCTCCATGGATCGTCCAGTACAGTGTAGTTGTAGCAGGGGTCAGAGAGATTAGCTGTTATGAAAATATTTAAAAGACATCATCACATTTCTGAAAAATGAGTTGTTATAAAATATTTTCAGAAATGCAGCTGAAGAGTTAACTTAATTAACAAATTATTACAATATGGGAAACAGAACTGCCAACCTTGAGTTGAACCGTAGTGTTGAAAAGGCTTATTAAGTTTTATTATTGTTTTTATTTTGTTTTAAAATTGTTTTTATTCTTATTGGTGGGCTGTGAATTATTGACAGCGTAGTTTAGTCCCGCAACGTTTCATGTTCAGCTTTAACATGATGAAGGGCTCGTATTTCTGTTTTTATTATAGAAAACCACACACATTTGTAAACCCATACACAATCCTAGCTGCATTGTGTATGTCAGCTGGCTTGAAACTTTATTAAAAACAGTGATTGGACTCATGGACTTCTGTGCATTCTTACCAATGCCCTGTGACGATTCCAACTAAACCAAACCAGTCCAAGAAACATACTTAAATGCGGTTGTCACTCCTGAAACTCACAGTGTGTACGTAGCCTAAATGCAGTTGTCACTGCCTGCATTATTCGGGAGTTAATTCGGTTGTCGAATGTGGTTGTCACTCCTGTATTTTAGTGAATTATGTGTGTGCAGAACGCAATTAAGGAGTAAAAGGTGAACTGACAACTTAGCTGCAGGGTGTACATGGCCATACAGTATCCTTCAGAAATGTAGACAATATTACTAGAATCACGAGTAACATGCTGATTTTCCAAGTGTTATATTCTAATACAGAAAAAGACAAATTCTTTACTGTGTGCACATTTGTGCAGAAAAATAAACTGGTTGTTTGTACACCAGCTCAACACACCAATCTAAAGATCAAAAACACCACAGCACAATACATTACCAACTGTGGTTGTCTCTTGTTGTCTTATAGAGGTAAAGACATCTGTGAAAAAGAAGGGGAAAAAAGAATACTGGTTAATTAAAACATTGTAAATGGTGCAATATTTAAAACAGAATATTCTGGCGTACATATTAAACTCTCTGCTGTTAAGCACATTAAAGCCACAGCTTAGGCATCTGAATGAAAGAAATGTGTCACACATTAAGAGGGATTCATTTCAAGCTGTTGCTCCCAAAAAGATCATCAATTACATTGTAGGATCATTAGATCTGTGCAGGTCCAAATAAAAAATAAAGTCTTATTTAGCATCTTCTGAGTTGATTTTGGGGAGAATTTAAACACAGTAAAATATTCAGACTAGAAACACATTATCAAATTAGTCATTATATTTACTAAACTAATACATTGTGGGCCTGCTTATGTGTTACATTCACACACACAAAAAAAAACTAAAATTAAATAAATAAAATTGATCAGACTTACACAGCATAACAAAGAAGATAGTCGGTGCTCTTATAAAACCTGTTATTAAATATGAAGGGGGAAAAATCTATAAAACAATTTTTTTTTTTTATATTCAATTGCAATGTTGAGATTGTGACAGATATACTCATAATCTCATTGCAGTTCATGCTATAATAGTTTTTGGGGCAGTGAGAACCACTTCTTAATTATACTCACCTTTATGAAAAAAGGACGCCATTGTCAATTTTGGCAGTCCAGTGTATTTTATCTCTTTATCTAAAAAATAAATCAGAAGACATTCCCTCATTACAGTTTAGAGAGGGAAAACAAACAAACAAATTAGCTTTGGCATTGACACGTGACTTCATATTATTCTCTTTGCACACGGAAAATCCCAAGTAGGTATAACTGCAGACCGGAGATCTTGAAAATGGGGCGTGAAGTGAACTCCAAAAGTGGGCAGAACCTCCAAAATGGGGCGGGGTCTCCTCGCGCAAAGACTTTCACCATTGGCTCTGGCTTCAGCCAATTGTTATTGACTTACATTTCAAAATAAAACTTTATAAATTCAACATTGTTTCTAGTTGATCTAAAATAAAATATGCTATATAAATAAATATTCTCCATGAGAGTAGAGCCCAAAGCTCGTGGCCAGTGGTTTTCGGACCTGAGTTTGAACCTCTGCTTAATGATATAAACGGGAATCACCTGCAAGCTCTCCCGTGAGCCATCCCAGCGCAGCGCAGGGGAAAGATGTTACTCTATTGCGTTGTTTTAAGCAACGGGGGCATCCCGAGCAGGGGCGATTCTAGGATTTTCATTTTAGAGTGCGGGTATAGTAATAATAATAGTCTAAGGATAAAAATATATATATATAAATAAAATAAAAAATGTTTGATTAATAGGGGTCATATACTAAACTTATTGCAGTATTCCACTGTATTGCATAGATTGGTATAACATTTGAGTATTGAATAAGCCAAATTCAAGTCTTCATGATCTCACACACACATCCTGTTTACTGTAGGCTACAAACACAACATTTTATTGTTTGCATTTCTAGTATTCCTTATCTCAAGTAGGCTTATGCAAACCTCTTTGCCACATGCATTGGAATATGTGTTATATTGAAAGTTAAATTTTCAAATGAAAATAGCAACATGATCGTTTCATAAAGTATATGTGCTTAATTTTCGTACACACACACACACACACACACACACACACAAAGAAAACAAGTAGATAGAATAGAAAAAGAATACAGAGCTAGTGTTGGAGTTTTTTTCTTTTAGAGAAAACCAAGCAGTTAGAAAACGAATAGAGAGTGCAAGTGATAGAGGGTCAAGTGTTTTTTTTTTTTTAAGAAAAATAGATCAGATAGAATTAGAATAGAGAGCGCTAGAGTTTGAGGGTCAAATAAAGATGGAAGAGATGTGTTTTTAGTTGATTCTTGAAGATGCATGTGCATTACTGTAAAATATATTTTGCTTTGCAATATAACAATTTTAAATGTAACAATGTAATTAAAAAGGCAATGGTTGACATTCTGTAATAATGTTTGTAACTCTGTTACCTGACAATTACTGTATCAGTTAAATATAGTACACACTTTCACTATAGTGAATTTATAGAATAGAACACCTTTATTGCACAGCTGTAGCCTACTTTGAAATTTTAGCTCTCTATAGTAGCAATACACACATACAAACAGTTCTAGTGCACATGTAAACAAATATGTACAGAACTATGTGAAGTTACAAATTTACATTATTTTTACAGTTATTGCAATCTGTACAAATAAAACAAATTAAATTTATTCCTCGTTATGTCTAATCCTTAGCATCAGCTAATCTACTGCTTTGTGCCGTTTTTCAGTTATCGATTACTGATGACAACATACTGTAGTATCAGGGTTGAAGTTAAAATACGCGTAGTAGGCCTACTGTAAATCCATGCCTACACTGTAAAAAAAAATCCGTAAAATTTACGGTAAAAAAACGGCAGCTGTGGTTGCCGGAATTTTACCGTTAAAAATACAGTAGTAACATTTTAGGTTTAAACTTAAATTTACAGTTAAATACCGTATTTTCATTAACTGATATAAAGTTGATATACCAACCTATTGAAGTACTGAAATCTGTTTTGTACCTTTGTAATACACTGATAACCACCAAATGCAGGAGGTGATGAGAACTCCACATGATGAACCAAAGCCCATCACAAGCAGCTTTTAAATTATAA